GAAACAGGCCTTGCTAATACTAGTAATTTAGCTCAAAGCCCATCCTAATTGGGCCAATCCACAGCCGAGATCTCACACGAGGTTTCACACTTTTACTAAATTACTATACTATCCAGATCAAGTGGGTCCATCCATGTCCGGAACCTTCGGGTTACCCGGTTTGAGGTTGGTTGGCTAAAAAAAAAAAAAAAAAAAAAAAAAAAAAACCGGTAACAAACAATTGGTGGTGGGGGCAAAAAAAAAAAGTCCAATTTCTTTAAAAAAAAATTCGAAGTAAAAGCCTAAAAAAAAAAAAAAAAACAACGGAAAAAGTTCCCCTCCAAAGAAAACCCAAGCAAATCGAATCTGAAATAAACCAAAATCAAAAAAAACAACGAAAAACCAAAAAGTAAAAACAAAAAAAAAAACCTGTTATTGAAATAACCCACCCACCAATTGTGCTGCTATGAATAGAAGTGTGCCAGGTTCAACCTTCAGCCCAAACTGCATGTCAGACAAGGTCATTTTAGTCCAACGAGGGAAATGGGCTTTTCCTCTTCTTCTTCTTCTCTCTCTCTCTTTTTTTTTTTTTTTGATAATTGGTTTTTCATCATACGCCTTTGGGTTTCTAGTTTCATTATTGTCAAGTACTACATATTCCAATTCAGTTTTAAACATTGATTTTAACCTTCACTATTATTGGGTTTTTTTGTTTAACTAAAATTGACATTTAAAAGACAAAACTAAAAATTAAAATCAATAACTTGATGAGTACATATATATATATATATTCAAAACTAATAACAAAAACAAAAAACCTGTTTAATTCATTAAACTTGTTTTTTTTTATAATTAATTTTGTGTTGTTAAAATTTTAAAACCATAACAAAAAAAAAAAATTTATTAATTGAGTTGTATATATGTAAACTTTTTGAGTTATATATACTAATTAAATTATAAATAAAAAGAAATGAAAATGAATACTATATTAAGATAATTTTATATGCAATCTTAGAATCAACACTAGAAATAATGGAGCAAGTCCCATCAAGGGTTAGGTTGGAATGTAGTAGACAACACAAAATCTTCACTTTGTTTAATTATTTTAATCTTTGGGATATTGTTTTCTTTATAATTTTGAGTAAAGATAAAAAGAAATAGCTTGAATTTATTCCATTCCATATGCTTGGAGAGATTTGTTTTGATCCAAACCGTGTACAAATGAACACTATCGGAACCCAAATAATAGGAAAGATGTATTATTCGGGTGTTGTCATGTGACAAAGACGACTCCTATTTTAAGCAAGCATGTGACACTTTGTTCCTTCAAAGATTCCTAGAGATGGAAACTATATGCCATTATTTCATTCATATTATATAATATAATTAATAACAGGCAAATTTTTTTTAAAAAAGGTACGTTTTGTTTTTTTACTGTAGCACTTTTTTTTTATGTGTGTGTGGTGTATATACATATATAAAACAGGTAGGTAAGTTTTTTTTTTTTTACAATATTATAATTATAATATCATATAAAATTATAAAATCTTAATTATGACATATCATTAAATAAAAATGATATACTATTAAATGAGTAAATCTATATATTATCACAAATGAATTTTTTAAATAAAAATATTAATTATATAATAATATATCATATTATATAATTATAATATTAGATGATATTATAAATATTTTTAAAAAATTTTTTTTAAACAGCATTAAGCAGGTAGTAATAGTATAAGACATTAACTCTTACACGAATAACATGTTAAATTCACTTCATTCCCATTTATATTCTACGCTGCAACTAAAAGTTTTTATGAGTAAT